TTTCAGGTGTATATGTTGGTTTGCTTAAATTGTTTTACTTACTACTTTCTGATGATTTAATATTATTTAGTTCGAATGCAGTTGGTTTACAAAGACTGCTGAATGGTTTATCAGAGTATTCAGCTAAATGGAAACTTAAACTTAATATTAGTAAAACAAAAACTGTAGTTGTAGAAATGCTGGCATAGTAAGGCATTATGAGAAGTGGCACAACGGAGAACAACTTCTAGTTGTGCCTAATTTTTGTTATCTGCATATTACTTTTTCGAGTAATGGTCGCTGGTTTATTCCCAAAAATTGATTGCCAAACAGGCGAGTAAAGCAATATTTGCTTTAAGAAAGAAATTATCCAAATACAGTGATATTGATGTACAAATTTATTTAACGTTTTTTGACTGTAACATTTTACAAATACTGATGTACGACAGTGAAGTTTGGGGTTTCGACAGTAAAGGAAACACATGGCAAATTTCGTAACTTTATTTTAAATTTGCTTAAATTCACAACAAATCCTGTAATTTATGGAGGGCTAGGTAGACTACCTCTAATCAATTTGTGTTATATACGTATTGTTAAATTTTGGTTGAAATTTAAAAAATGCAAACACATCGTTATGTTTACCAATGTTACCTTTTTCAGTATAAAGAAGCTAAAAACAAGTGAATTATCGCAATGTTAAAATGTGATCCGATTTCAACAGAAAACGGTGATTTTTTCCCCTAAAGCTGTTGATTCGCAATTTTCGAAAGGTAAACTGAGGGTCGAAGAAGTATTTAAACTTTTTACGGTCGCCAGTCATGTCGAAGAATAGTTTGCTCGATCACATCCCATTCACGAAAGTCTCAATGGACACGGTTATTCGGAAAAGTAAAACGATGTTCAATGACCAGGTTTCACGACTTGACGATCACAATTTTGGTGTTTCTAAAACTATTACCCAAAAAAACTATGGATTACTTCAACATCAGGGTTCATCCTGAGTAAATAACGAAATAGAAAATGTGCGAACCATGGTTCGTACGTTCACCGGCTTGAAATTAATGCGAGTTTTCTCATAAAAGCAGGAACCAAACTACCGTACCATTCACGGTTATTATGCTATGAAACAAACTTTTTACATGCATATTTTAATAAATGTCGTTGATGCCTGGAAAAAACACCATGGGCTTTATACTCAGGGATGCCCTCAACTAATTAAATGTCTAAAAACAGAGGGGTGGGCTTATACTCGGGAAGGGGCTTATGCTCGGTGAAGTACGGTAATTAAAGAAAAAAGTTACATTCTACGTTATGCTCTGCTTAGAACATCATCCCACCATAGACTTTACAATAGACTACTGCAGGGTCTGTGATCTCACAATTTTCGGGTTTAATCTAATCGTAAATTAAACATACTGAAGAATATGAGAATCTGTAAACTATGTAATTTAGGGTTGGTTGATGATGAATACCATTTTGCCTTGTATTCCCACATTATAAAAATCTTAATAAAGATATTTACCTTTATTTTTTAGTCAAATCACATATGAAAAATGTCTTTGTTTAATGCACTTTGACATCTGTATTTTAATTTCAAAATTTGTATTCTACGCTTCTAAACATAGAGAAAATCTACTTAACCAGTTGTGACTTGTAGATTCAATGAATATTTAAAGGACTCTCTCTATATATATTTTTTATTTTTGATTTATTGTATCATAGGTCTGAGGCCGTTGTACTGAATAAATTCATATCATATTATTATGCAAATTGCTGTTGAAAGACATACCACCCGCATTTACGGCATAGTATGCGTGACAAATTTATGTTCACAGTGGCATTGTGATTGACCGAAACCCTGATATCGCAGTCTTGATAAAAAATATGTTAAATTGTAGTAGCTTGATGGTTACAGAATATAAACCACTTGCTTCGCCGCATGTATGCATTGTCATCACATGATCATGATTGAACGACTAAATAACTATGCTTTCTAATGAACGTGACTGGGATTTCAATTCATACTGTAATTTATATTTTGAAACAAGTAAGATATATATTACAATATGAATTATGAACATTATTAACAAGAACTGCATTTTTCACTTACTTGGTTCCAAAACACATGCCGCAAATTACGTTCGCTACCATTAGCATAACCAATGGTTTGGGGTCAAAAGGTCGTCCATCTTTATTTTCAATAAACTCTCGAATTTGTGGAAATGTTTCTTCATGAATGTACCGTTCCACCTGGTCTGGCTTGGCAAAATGCCTATCAAAATAACATATAGGTTAATTATGGTAATTTATGTACATTTGTTTTGATAAAAAAAACATTAATAGCAAATATCGATTACTGCATAAATTGGAACAACTTGAACAGGGATTGAAAAAAAATGATTTTCGAAATTTGATTTCGAAAAATAAAGTTTGAGTTGCAAGAGGGACCAAATAATTTAATCGCTACATAGGGTCTATCAGGTAATCCACCAACATTTGTCAATATTTCATTTCTGATATTTTAATAAATATTAACAAATTAAACAGGTAATTAAACAGTTTTCTGTTTATAAACTTCAATAGAGCTATATTATCCACCTACCTAGATTCTTGTTTGAAAAGGATAATCCTAATTTTTTAAATAATTTTATCTGCTTTTTATATACATTGATTTTGATTCTCTTGTTAATTTTAATTTTAAATCAAAATGACAAAAGTTCCCATTTTGTCAAGGGTGAAACAATATTTGAGGATCACGTTGATATGTTGTAGTTTGAGCGGTTGATTTTTTTAACACTTTAAAATGTCGAACCAAACTTAAATATATTTCGATATACTAAATTCAATATTCAAACTTTCACTCACTTGTTTCAAAAACATTTATACCATGGCCCTGTTTATTTTTCGTTGGATGCTCTCCAATGAATGCTACGGGAAAGGAAAAGAAGGGAATATTTACAGGGGTTTGTACAAACACACTATTACACTATGATCTACCTTATGCCTTGATGTGCATATTTTCGGAGACATTTCCAAGTTGGATTGTATTCCCCGTTTGATATATTTCTTCTGCCTTCACTAAAAATATCTCCTGTTAAATAAACATGTATTACATCGAGGATTTAAGGGATGAGTGTACTCAATTGGTGTGATATGCAATTGAACTGGGGCAATGAAGATCCAAACTTGAATCGAAGTCAAAATGGTAAGTGCAAAGGAATGTGTCTGTCAAAGAACCAGTTAGTATCCTTGGGCTATTTCGAATCGTTCATTTATTTCTGTGATGCCACTGGTCTGAAATGAGTTTAATTAATTGATGTGCACATGGAAGATGATAAAAAAGTTGCATAAATCCTTCATATAATAGTATAACTCACCTGTAAAAAAACTTGGTCTATCGGCAAATGCGTCTTGTTTTTTCACCAATGCTTCTTTGACAACCCCTATACTGTTCAACATAACAATATCTAATGTTCCAAGCTTTATACTGAACATGTCTCCATATTGCTTAGAGTGAGCAGTTAAGGACAAATGAGCATTGTCAGCCATATCTGGGGAGAAACAAAGACAAAACTCAGTAAATTACAAAGTATGGTAAACATTACGTTACATTTTCACAAATTTCTTTGCTTGCCATTAGACACAGGAGCAATATATAAATTTCGAAATAGTTGCATTTCATTGTCACCTTGCATTATATTATCATTATAAACAAGAAAATCGCAAAAGTATTTATTCAGTGATTCCAGGGTCCCAATGTCGACACGATCACCATACCACCTTCATGCATACTTTGCGGTATTCTCGTGATGACCTTTTAGTATGCATTTCTTTGTTATTATTGAGCGAGATGACTATAGGTCAAAATCAAATTTGCCTTTCAAATTTAAGGATCCCAGTAAAATGTTAGGGGATTCTCATGAATCAAATTTTAAGGATCCCAGTAAAATGTTAGGAGATTCTCATGAATCAAACTTTAAGGATCCCAGTAAAATGTTAGTGGATTCTCATGAATCAAACTTTAAGGATCCCAGTAAAATGTTCGGGGATTCTCATGAATCAAATTGTAAGGATCCCAGTAAAATGTTAGGGGATTCTCATAAATCAAACTTTAAGGATCCCAGTAAAATGTTAGGGGATTCTCATGAATCAAATTTTAAAGATCCCAGTAAAATGTTAGGGGATTCTCATGAATCAAATTTTAAGGATCCCGGTAAAATGTTAGGGGATTCTCATGAATCAAATTGTAAGGATCCCAGTAAAATGTTAGGAGATTCTCATGAATCAAACTTTAAGGATCCCAGTAAAATGTTAGGGGATTCTCATGAATCAAATTTTAAAGATCCCAGTAAAATGTTAGGAGATTCTCATGAATCAAATTTTAAGGATCCCGGTAAAATGTTAGGGGATTCTCATAAATCAAATTTTAAGGATCCCAGTAAAATGTTAGGGGATTCTCATGAATCAAATTTTTGCAGTTATTTAGTTTACAAAGATAATAAGCATTGCATTTATTCAGCAGTCAAGAATATATTATTTTAAGAGTGCACAATTTTGCCCATGAATGCGATAACATTGCTGTTAGCAATGCACATTGCAATTAAAAAACAGAAGATATCATTAGAAAATGAACAATATGCATACATGTAGTATCAAAGCAATCAAACTTTTCAACAAGAATTCAAAAATATTCCTTTTCACCAAAAATGACAAAAATATTCATCAAAATTAGTTAATTGAAGATATCATCACAAAATAAACAAATCTGAGAGAGGTCCACATGTAGTACCTATATATATAATATCAAAGCAATTGGACTTGCGGTTTTCAACAAGAAGTCGAAAATATCACTTTTTACCAAAAATGACAAAAATATTCACCAAAATTAGAGAATTGAAGATTCTAAGAGAGGTCTACCCAAGGTACATATACACCAAGTATCAAGTACATTCAGGCTTGTAGTTTTCAAGAAGAAGTCGAAAGAGTAAAACATTGACACGGACGACAGACGACGGACAATCACTCATATGATAAGCTCCGCTCGACAAAGTCGGCAGCGGAGCTAATAAAAAGAAGCATATGATGGAAGCCCGAAAAATCAGTCAAAATTGAATAACGTGAGCACTGATAACTACATGTTTGAATGTCAACCGGAATAAATGATGTGTATTTTGTGAAAATGATTTTTACCAACATAACACAAATAAATAATATATATTTTTTAATTGAAGTTATTCATGAGTTTCTCTCTATGTTAGAAATGTACAGCTCACCAAGCATGTTGCCGATAAACGGATATCCGGGTGGGCCAGGAGGCAGGTAACCAGGGCGATGAAGGGTCCATAGTCCAGCAAGGATCAGAATCATTAACACCACAGATAAAACACCAAACGGGGTTGTCAGGAAACCAAGGGCACGCTCGAGTATCAACAACAGCATACTGTAGAATAGCTTCAAAGAAAAACATACATACACATTGTAGATCCCTTAACAATATGATGTTTCCCACTAAAATATAGGCCTAACATTTCACAGATTTGTATTTATTTTTGTTTTTAATTTCTTTGAAAATGTTGCACTCTGAATTATCTATCTACATGTTATTTGTGATGTTTCGTTTGGAAGCAATTTTATATTGTTATCACCAACTCTGTCATCCCGTCAAAGTCGTATATCAATGTAAGTTAAAATATATTAGGTTTTGTGAACTGCATCATTGATATAAACATGATATACTTAAACACTTAACAATATGTACCATATCACTTGATGTCTATGAATTATTGATAATCACTGAAATATAATAAAATAAAATTTGTATACATTGTGAAGCATTGGTCAACCTGTCACGGATAGCGCCCTTTGTATATGCCTTTGACAACATTACAATTTTCCTGCTTATCACTAATGAACTTGTTCAAAAAATTTGATTATCTATATGTTTATGATGACACTATCTGTATATTTTGGATGCTACAATGTTTGCCAGTTACCCACGGTTGTGGTTCACGGGTAATTTGTCAGAAACATTTAGAAAGTCAAAATAACATAAAAAAAAAAAAAAAGTTTACCAAATTGCAAAGGACAAGGCAATAAATCAAATAATATTATATACTATTATCAAACAAATAAAATAATAAGTTGAATATCTGTTCCTGAAGTGTGGTCATGACATAGTTCATTTAAATTGTTAAAAACATGGCAACGAATTGCAAACCTTAATGTAATGTAATGTTAGACTGTCGACAGTCGGTCGTACCTAATATTAATCTGTTATTATTAATAAATATTGTGTATAAACGTAATAGACGTGAATAAATTGCGAACACCAGGACAGGAAGTATGGAGTGCTGTAAGGCACGACTGACTGTCCTGTCCGGTGCTGCAATTCACTGGTAAGATTTCTTACCAGATCCAGGTACTTTCATATGCAAATGATAGTCGCGCAGATGTCTATCATTTTATCGTGGCCAATCGTGAAAAGGGTCAGGGTCGGTGACTACTAGGATCGCCCACGACTTACGCGAAGTTTGTTTTGACACTTTCTACAGCAGTTTTTGATATCATGATACAAACAAATCTTATAAAAGTGCTGGAACGTTAAGACTACCATGATATTTCTTGCAAAGAATACCAGCAAGACACTATCGCAAACTATGTGTTCGTTTGCGTGCCGTGTTGACATTCGTCTTGTCAAAAAGAACTTGTTTTGCAAGCAGGGATCTCTCTGCTTTCAGTTGCCATAATCTTAAAGGAAAATGTCTGTGACCTTTCCAATAACTCTCGCTTAGTTTGTTGAAATTCTTTCCTGAACTCATCCATGTTTTATGCAGAGTCGACGTTATCAGTCCACATTTTTTGCACGCATACGAACTGGCAGGATGTAGATCGTTTGTCTCCACAAATTTGCATGTCGTAGTTCTGTTGGTTTCGCGAAACAGTCTCATTCATTTTTTTATATTTTCTATTTGGCTGACACAAACAATGCACATTGTTTCCTTGAATTTTTGAATTCGTAAAGGCTCGTCAGTGATATGACCCTTGAACTACATTTATACAAATGCAATGCTGAGTTTCATGTATTACCCAGAAAATTCTTAAATAACAATTATATTTTGGAAATTCTTATATAAAGAATAAGAACCATATATGTGAACCGGAGTGTTCTATTTTCCTATGCATATGTTGGGATGGAAATGGTGCTCACATGATCATGTTAGATACAGGTACGCTTTTAATGACATGACTTATTCATAGCAATGTGGGTTCAACAACCTATTGGTCCAAGCCCATCATTGCTGCTTGCAGCTATATTTTGAAATAATTCTAAAAATGAGTATTTTATCTCATAATTCATAAGAAACAATATGCACAATTTACATAACAAGCATATACTATGGCCAAACTCAAAATGGCTTCGTTGATCAAAAACAATAGCTGAGTTATTTGTGTCTTTAAATTTCTGCAATTGTAAAAACAATTTGACCTCTCGGTTTATCACAAGTAACTATAACGACGACTTCACAACTTATCTGCTACGTGCCCACTCACTGATATCCAATTGAATGACTGATAGACAAATTTACACAGCATACTGTGAACCTATCTATCCATGACCTGTGGTATGACCCTATCATTTTGACGTTCATATTCAAGTTTTGCATCTGCTGACAAACTCCGTGGCTATTCTATTCTATTCTAGAAGTCGTCGTGCCGCGTCCTGTTCGATATGGGACTCATAGCGACATATACAACGCGGCGTGTAAAATACATTGTTTATTTACGTGAAATTAGAACATGCACTGCGCACCACCGCGCTTTATTAAATGATATGGCCAAAGTGAATAGTACTGGTCTCTTAGACGGAAAAATCCAAGGCATTGTCATATACATACCAAGTTTGTTGTCTTTAAATTCAGGCAATACGTTGCTTCAATTCAGAATGCTGGTCTGCAGTTGTAAAGTAAATTTAGTCAGAACCTCTCTGCAATCACTCGGTGATATGAAATGGTACTCATGCAAACAATATTTGACCTGTGTGTGACCCACAGTCACTCGCCAATCGGCGCAATAAAAGGCCAACAAACAAGCTGCTTTCTGATTGGTGTTAGATACTAAGCTGCTTTCTGATTGGTGTTAGATACTAAGCTGCTTTCTGATTGGTGTTAGATACTAAGCTGCTTTCTGATTGGTGTTAGATACTAAGCTGCTTTCTGATTGGTGTTAGATACTAAGCTGCTTTCTGATTGGTGTTAGATACT